GCGCCATTTGTTTGCTTTTTTCCTTACCAACACATTATTAGCCAACCAGGTGGGATATTTCATCTTGTTGATTAAACTAACGCTTGATACCTTACCTACTTCCTCATCTATGAAGGATTTTTTCTCCTCTCCAATTTTTCGCTTCATCTATTCCACTGGTCTGCTGATGGGTTAACGACGAGGCAATGTCACACCACTATGGTTTTTATCCCTGGCATGTCATAAGAAGTCTAGAGGAATAAGTCAATGTCTCTAATGAGGTGGTCGGCTAGTTTTGGTTCTTCTTCTTTGGTAAGAAAAAAGTGCCTATGTTCGTAACTTGATGTGCTATGACCTATCTTGACTTCTTTCAAATCCTCTGTGGGCATGAGTCTCTTATTGCCAGCACTCAACCAAATAATGTCTGCATCTTAGGCTTCAGGGAAGAAGACACCCACAAGGGAGGGCTCTTCCCTATCCTTCTCTAGGGTACTTCTTGTAGCACTCTTGAGCACTTTCCAGGTCTCTTCGAATGGTCTGAACTCATCTGCCAGGCAGCAGGTACTTCACGAAAAAGTACCGAGTGGAAATAATCGCCTCTAATACAATGATGTCGGGTCGGACTAGGATGAGGCTGTAGGGAGATAGGGAGTTCACTTTTACATAGCCGAGTTGAATCCACTTGGGGTTTTTCCCTCGTATAATGGTGTTTTTAGGGATACATATCCCTCCACTTGTATTTGTTCCCTAACAATCTTATTAACGAGCCTTGAAAGGCTTTGACGTCGTTAGAATCAAGCTGAATCCTCTAGAAAGCATCTCAGAATAGGATGTCAACATGACTATCGAGATCTATCAAGACTCGCTTGATGTCTAAGTTGCCATGTTGCACATTGATGAGAAGGGGGTCATTGTCACAAGGGAGGATTGTGGTGGAATCACTTCTAGAGAAGGTGATGTTGATTCCCAATTCTCCATGTTCCCTTATAGGGAATCATAGAGATATGATGTTCGTGGTCAACACCTGTCTGGAGTATTTTCTACAGGAGGATTTGGAACTTCCCCTGTCAGTGAAACCCCATGCTATGGTTGACCTTAGAATGTGGAGCTTTATAAGATATCTTCAAATTAATATGGAAATGATGATGATAAATGAGTTGTATCCAAGGTTAGTTTTATCGGGGCTCTATGGTAAATACTGAAGGTTGAGAAAAGCACAAGAAAGGAGGGGGAGGGGGGGTTAAATGGGGTTTTCAAAACTTTTTCTTTTGCAAATTCTTCTCAAAAACAAACTATGATAACTAAACAATAAAGAAAAGTGACACGTTTGGTTTATACAAGTTCACCTTAGAAAAGGCTACTCTTATCCACCCGCCAAGGTGATTTTGCCTTAGAAAAAGACTTAATCCAATAATCTAGAAAGATTACAACAACCTCTAAGAGTTTAGAAAAATACCTTAACCCTCTCAAGTAATTATGACTACAACTTAGTAACTTAAAGATATAAATCTAGGAAGGTTTAAAATCAAATATTGTCTACAATAGTGCTTCTGAAAAGCATATTTAACACCATAATGAAGACTTGGATCATATATTGGAATTGACTTTCCATTGTCTAAGAAACGTTTTTTCTCCATTTTTCAAAAAAGTGGGTGAGTGGGAGACACTTAGGGCGAGGGGCTTCCTAACCGGGGGTGACATATTGTACTCGGGTCTTCTGAGGGCTACAATTTTCCTCCTTTGCTAGAATCTTTACAAATATAACACTACACTTATATATATCCTTTCTCCTTATTTAAATGATGATTTTTTATCAATGTGTTTTATTTGTTTCCCACCTTTTTTATTATCTACCTATTTTTTATTTATCACCTCCTTGAGAGATACATTGTAATCATGAAAATAGGGGAGAATTTAGATTTATGTGTCTACAGGTATCATGTTGATGATCTTAAATAACAGCCTTCCAAGTGTTTTGACGAAAACAACACTGATGAACATTAGAGTCGTTAGTGATATCTTTACGACACTCTAATGATGTCACTTAACTTTAATATATCTCAAGCCTCATCCAATATAAGATTCAAGGTTTTAGTGAAGTGCTTATATGATCTATATAACTAGTTGATAAACTTGAAAGCTTCAGAGTTGTGAAAGAGAGGAAGTGTGAAGCTCACCTAGTTGTGTCTGTCTGAGTGAACAGAGTCTTGTAAAATTATGAGAGTAACTCCTAATATACTAAGGCAAATTACACACACATACTTAAAATATTTTTTGAAGCCTCTCTTTATCTAATAAACCACTTATAAATATTTTTTAAATCTAGCCAAATGATTAGAGGAATGTCATCTTTATTAGGAGAAAATTTTAAATTGTCTAATTGATTAGATTTATGTCTTAATCGATTAGATGAAGCCTAATCGATTATATTTATTTTCTAATTGATTAGATGAATCCTAATCAATTATATAATCAATCATATAATCAATTATATCAGTCTCTTAATGATTGATAATGACTATATATCAAAATTTTCCTTTTTGGGAAAATAATAGATTATTTCTAGTGTCTAATCGATTTGGTCATTTAAAAGGCTCATGGATTGTTTCCATTTTAAGCCAAAAATTTTCCTATATAAAAGAGGTTTATCATCACTTTATTTCACACTAGAATTTGAGATTTTTCTACTTTTTCATAATTTATGCCTCTCTCTCTCTCTCTCTCTCTCTCTCTCTCTCTCTCTCTCTCTCTCTCTCTCTCTCTCTCTCTCTCTCTCTCCTCTTTCTCTAAATATTTTACTTTATTTTCCAAAGTTGCCTTAGTGCATTATGAGTAAATTTTATTTGTTAGGAAAGAGTTGAATTAGTGTCGTGCCATTGTTCGTATTTTCAAGAGTTTGATACTCTTGAAGAAATGAGTTTGGTTCTGAAGATCAACCTTTTAAAAAAATCTATGTTTGTTTATATAACTCAACTTGCAAAAATTTTGCTTGTTTATTGAGATCAACCTTTAAAATCTCTACTCTATTTGTAAGCACATCCCATTGAAAAAACTACATTTTTATTTTGGGAGGGGGGATATAAGCTAGTGTAAAATCTCTCGATTATCTTTTATCAAAGGTTTATGGGCATAACATGTAAACACATAATTTTATAGTCAAATCTCAAGAAGATCTCTTTAGGACAGGACTAGGTCTCATTTATTTGATTACCTCTTTATTTATTTTCCGTTGATCTTACATAATTTGATTCTTAAGTAATATAACTTTAATACTAATCGTGAATTTTGAATACCACAATTCAACCCTCGCCTCGCCTCTTGTGTTTGAAGTTACTTGTCCAACACTTATCTATGTAAATCCTTTAAAGTATAATTTCTTGCCTTATTCGAATCTATAGAGTCATCATTCACCATCTCATTCACTATGATATTTAAAGATTTATCATTCTCTATATCCTTCATAGTATCATTAACCAATACATCTTGTTGGACCTTTTAGGCGTGTACCTTGTATTTTCTTTAATTAGCGATTTCTCAACATTCTTGTCTTTCAACTTTCAACATTTGTCAATACTATGATCAACACACAGAATGATCACAAAAAGAGTTAATTCTCATATTTCATTTCAACAAAGAACTCATAACCCTCAAAATACAATCATGGGGAGTATATGACGTGATAAGGTCTATCTGCACACACACAAAATGTCCCAAAATTATTTTTCTTGTAAGCTCATCAATTGATAAAGGATTGCCAATACCAGACGCAATTGCAAACAAAGTAGTTACTTCTCAATACTCTAAGGATAAACCTTTTATCCTCAACCACACATGAGCATTTTTACTCTTCAAATTTTCAAGTCTAAAATCTTACATTCGCACAAAACAACGCATGAGTGAGAGGTTAACTTTCTATGTTCTAATCCACCAAATTTTGTTGAGATCCTCCATTGATTTGAATGAAAATTCAAAATAGCTACGTCCCAAAAGAGATAAATCCCAATTAGTAATTGAGCTCCCTAATTTTATGAGTTTATCACATAATTCTGATGCCTTTAAGGCCTGTTTGTTTTGGATTTAAAAAAATAGATTTTTTTGTTGTATTTTCAAAAATGGATTTGTAAAACCATTTTTTAAATTATTAAAAGTTTTTTATATCCGTTTTTTCTAAATTCAAAGACTAATTTTGACATCCTATAACATAAACATATATTATTGAAGAACAAAATATAGGCGAAATCACAATAATTTCAAAAGGGAGTTGATGCCGATTAGGTTTTCTTTCTAACTTTAGAAAAGCATCCCAAAAAAACCCGATGTCGTGCAAACATAATATATCCTTCCACAAAGATCGTTTCGATGATAAAAATTTCACACGTTCAATTCATGAACAATGTATGTTATATTCGGTTAAACAAATAAATATTTTAAAATTTATAATATAATCTATACCTAAATATAAAAGAAAAATATATGGTGTCACTTTTTTTATTTTAATTTTTATCCTTAAAAACTTTGAGTATTTATGACACTTATTTATGTTTAAAAAGAATTATAAATATAAGTAGTACATGAAAGTTTCAGATTGATTAAAAATATAGAGATTTGAGTGAGAACACACATCTAGTTACTTTAAGATTTTGGATAAATAGTGTATAACTCAAAAAAGAAAAATCCGCAAAATAAAAATGATTGTATAATCATTCCTTCTTTCATTTTTTATTTTGTAGACTTAGTCATAGCTTTTTTCCGCATACAATAAGATGCATTTTCCCATATACGATGATTATTTAAACAAGTTGTTGATCTGTATTTGTCGTTTTTCTTTCAGTTTTACTATTGATATTCCTAGTTGCCGTCTATGATTTTGACTTTTGAGTGATATTAATACAGTCTTACGTAGACTTAGACTTTGTTAATTAACGTGTTATTAGCGTGTTCTGCACTAAACATATATGGCTGCTGTTTACTTTTATGATATATATTCTCTTCATTTCATTGTTACCAATTAAAACTGCAAAATGAGAATTCTTCCTTCTTTGTTTTTTATTACTATAATATTCTTCTTCTCCAAATTTTCCTATGGGGCAGATACTATTACTCCATCAGTCTCACTTTCCGATGGAAGCACCTTGATTTCCAAAGATGAAACCTTCGAGTTGGGTTTCTTCAATCCCGGTAATTCCTCAAACCGCTACGTTGGAATTTGGTTCAAAAACATCCCGGTTAAAACCGTTGTTTGGGTTGCAAACCGTGATAATCCTATCAAAGACAACTCAAGCACGTTGATCATAAACAAACAAGGTAATCTGGTTCTTCTCAACCGCAACCAATCTCTTCTATGGTCAACAAACACAACAAAGAAGTCTTCAACTCCAATTGTCCAGCTTCTCAACAATGGAAATTTAGTGATTAGAGACGAGAAAGTCAGTGAAAGTGATGAAGACAGTTTTTTATGGCAGAGCTTCGACTATCCTAGTGATACGTTATTACCAGAAATGAAGATTGGGTGGGAGAAGAAAAGTGGTATTCATAGAATATTTACTGCGTGGAAAAACTGGGAGGATCCATCTTTAGGTGATTTTACATCATTCATGAGCGTTAGTAATAATCCTGAAGTGGTTCTTTTCAAAGGCTCATCTGAGTTCTTCAGAACAGGACCTATGACTGGTACTACGGATAGTGGAGCTTATGGGCTGAAGGCTAACCCGATATTTATTTCAGACGTTGTAAGCAGTGAAGATGAAGCGTATTTTTCGTACACACTAAAGGACAAATCTGTGATTTCCATAGTTGTTTTAAACCAAACTCTTATGCTTCTTCAACGCCTTGTATGGATTCCTGAATCTAGAAAATGGAGTACTTACATGAACCTACCACATGATACTTGTGATGGTTATAACGTGTGTGGAGCATATGGAAATTGTGACATTAACGGATCGCCACTTTGTCAGTGTTTGGATGGGTTTAAGCCAAAATCAGCGCAACAGTGGAGCACAATGGACTGGGCAGATGGATGTGTGCACACTGGAAATTGGAGCTGTGGAGTTAAGGGTAGAGACGGTTTTCTTAAAGTTACTGGAGGGAAGTTGCCAGATACTACAAATACATGGGTTAATGCAAATATGACAATTGATGATTGTAAGATCAGATGTTTGCAAAATTGTTCCTGCACAGCTTACTCAAGCTTAGGCCCAGACGACGATTCCGGCGGTTGTTGCCTATGGTTTAATGATCTTAAAGATTTGAGAGGTTCAGATTCTCAGAGAAACTTCTATGTGCGAATTGATGCATCAGATATAGGTAACAAATTCACTACTCTTTTACATAATAATGTCACTTCATCATATTAAAAGAACACAATGTTTCATTGCAGGTGATAAACATGAGCATACAAAAATGATTATCTTGGTAGTTTCGATCGTTGTTTTTGCTATCATTGTGATAATATTGGCACTATACATTTATCGAGAAAAGATGAAGTACAAAGGTACTTTTCTTATCCTTAGAGTTTGTCGATGTGAATGAATTTTATCCAAAGTACTGAAAGAAACATTCTTTGATCTTGTCGTTTTTCTTTAGTAACATTGTTCTCATCATCTTGTTAGAAGGCAATAATGAAGGCGAGCATGACGATTTAGACCTCCCCTTCTTTGATCTTGCTACTATACTTGAAGCCACAGATTACTTCTCAAATGCAAACAAACTGGGTGAAGGTGGTTATGGACCTGTATACAAGGTATATTTAAATATAACTTTTTGGTGAGGTTAAAGAAAAATTCATTTGAGTTGTTAAACAAATTACATTCAATCATCAATGTAGGGTAAGTTGCAAGATGGTCAAGATATTGCAGTAAAAAAACTTTCAAAAAGATCTACACAAGGAATGAAAGAATTTAAGAATGAAGTTATTTTATGTTCTAAACTTCAACACCGAAACCTTGTTAAAATAATTGGTTGTTGCGTTGAAAAAGATGAAAAAATGTTGGTCTATGAATATATGTCCAACACAAGCCTTGACTCATTTATTTTTGGTAAGTAACTTTCAAAGCTTACTACAAATTTGATTATTTATTCATGTCATTATTGGAAGAAAGAACTAGTAATTAAATTTATTGGGAAATTTTAACAGATCCAATTCAAAGCAAATTATTAGACTGGCCTATGCGTTTCAACATCTTATATGGAATTGCCCGAGGTCTTCTTTACTTGCATCAAGATTCCAGGTTAAGAATTGTGCACAGAGATTTGAAAGCGAGCAATATTTTATTAGACAATGATATGCAACCAAAAATTTCGGATTTTGGTCTTGCTAAAATGTGTGGAGGTGACAACATGGAAGGTGAAACAAGTCTAATAGTTGGCACATAGTAAGTAACATAAAAGTTTGATAGAATTTTGTGGAACTGATTGAACATCAAATTTATTTATTTTTACTTCTTTTCAGTGGTTATATGGCACCTGAATATGCCATTGACGGATTATTCTCAGTTAAATCAGATGTATTTAGCTTTGGTGTCTTATTACTTGAACTTATAAGTGGAAAGAAAAACAGAACTCTTACCTATAATCAAGACGATCACAATCTTATTGGACATGTGAGTGATCTAAAAAAATTCAATTATTTTTCCTCTACCTAACATAGATAATAATTTTGTTAATATTTTTGCAGGCATGGAAGTTATGGAAAGAGGATAACATACAGTCACTGATTGATGATAATTTGAAAGATACGTGTATTCTTTATGAAGCTTTGCGATGTATTCAAATAGGGCTTTTGTGTCTGCAGCATCATCCTGATAATAGGCCAAATATGACATCTATTGTTGTGATGTTGAATAGTAATAATAATAGTTTACCTCTACCACATGAACCAGGTTATTTATTACAAAACATAACAAGCGAAGGAGAACCTTTTACCGAAAGACAAAGACCTTCTTCAATAAATAATGTAACTATCTCACTATTAAATCCAAGATAGAAAAATAATAGTTTATCTATGAGTTTATGTGTATTAGACTATTTTTTCATTTAAGACTGAGTTAGTTAGTGTTATTCATATAAATCTTGTAACTACTTTTAGTTAGTTAGGTTTCGTTAAAAGTTTCACCGCAGGATTGTAATTGTCCAGTTAATAATGGATAAGATATTCATTTGATCTCACACATGGTATCAACCATTGATTCTATTGTTTTTGCACACTAATCTTCCTTCTTATTCACTGATCTCTCAATTGTTTCATCAATGGCAAATGATGATGAACCTACCCCTATATAAAAGAATCATTATTCATCACTCAATTTACAAATTTGGTACCTTCTTATTCTTTTGGTCTAAAATTTTCTTTCAACCCGCAAGACAACAACTACTTGATATGGCATTAGCAAATTAAGGGTGTGATTCTCTTGCACCAAATTCATGAATATTATGTCAATCTGTAAACCTTTTAATGTTCAAAATTGTGGCAATTCAAATTAATAATGCAATTTTTGAAGATTATAAAACCTAGATTGTTCAAGATCAAACCCTATTTATTTGGCTTCTTTCAATAATCTCTAAATCGATGTTGCATAGGATTCTTAACTATAAGCTTTCGTATGCAATCTAGGACAAAATCCATAAACTTTTTCAGGCAATAATGAAAACAAGTATTTGTGAGCTACACAATTGTTTCATTCTGAAACAACAAATGAGTTGAGGAGCAGCAGTGATGGTGGATCATAGCTTCTGACGCGGTGAAGAGCGGAGACCTGTTTAAGTTGCACATCTCTGATACCTTAAGGAGAGACGCAGTGAAGAGCGCTTATAAATCATTTTTGTCTCTCAAAAACCTCACAATGTTATAACACACATTCTTCCATTGATGATTTGAAAACTCATAAATCACTTGTTCTTTGTTTTCTCAAAAGACTTTGAATATGTAGTGAACACTTGCAAACAATTTCTTTCATTTTCTAACTCATTCTTTTCATTATAACATGGATCCAAATCTCATCTTGAAAGATTCGTGATTGATTGAGGAGATTCTTTATGAATTTAATGTTTCTTTAAGATTTTTTAAGATTTTAGAGGCTTACAAGATTGTATGGTGTTGTATCTGGTTGTGACAATTCCAATGAAAAAGAAGGAGGTTCTTTTTTCCACGTTGAACTTGGTAGTATTGTATGGAAGTCGACAGACAGGGCATGATTTATTTTTAATATTCGGACAATCCAAAGCTCAAGATACTGGGAAAATTATATCGAAATTGCCGCAAATGTAGACTTAGGGGCAGGTTGTTGGACCTGGAAGGTTCAAGAAGTGAATTCGAGTGAATATTTCACATAGAGTTAAATTTGTGAAACTGTATACAAGTCAAGCTCCAAAACAAAGAATTTTACCATTTCAACGTTTATTTTTGGACTAGTGATATACGAACTCTTGTAATATTGTTACAAATCATATTGGAATACCAACAAATTTTAATTGGGAAGCCATTTTAGAGTGGATTAATCTCAAAGTGAGGATGGACGTTCCAAACCACTATAAATCCCAGTATACACTATTCCCCATATCTCTCCCTCTCCCTCTCTCTCACATTCATTTAAATTCGTAATTGATTGCATGATTATGTTATTATTACAACTTTCTAGAATCACATGTCGATAGGATTTATCTTATTGTAAATAGAGATATGTTTCATAAGTAATAGGTTTTTTTAGAATAAATAGTTCTATTTTGTCTTAGTGGGATTAAGTCTGCAGATTTTGATAATTGACTCTTAAGCATTTTTAAAGTTATTCAATAATTCCTGTGAAATTGAATAATTGTGCAAATGCTATTGGTTTGTACAATTTGGTGAAGTATAATAGTTCATCTTGGTTTTATTTTGAAATTCTGGCTGCAGATACTCAATGTCACGTTCAATGTTATGACACCGTATCTGACTTTCTAAAAGACAGTAAATACAAAAACAGTAAAGAACACAGTCAATTGTTTACCCAGTTCAGTGTGCAACAACACCTACTCTGGGGGCTACCAAGCCAGGGAGGAAATCCACTATAAGAGATATTAATTCAGGAATAAACCAACCAGTTTATCTCCTTCACTTAAGACCTACCCAATGCAACTTCAATCTAAGTAGAACTTAAACCTGAGTTCCTACTCACCCCCCCTCAATCACAGCAGTGATACTTAAAACAATTGACTAATGATTTAATGAAGACACTCTTCAAAACATACACTTGATTATGCTTCACAGCTTTTTAATCAAGCAACACAAACACTCTTGCTTCACAGCTTTGAGTGATACATAAACCTAACTTGACTTTGCTTCAAAGCTTTAGTCAAGAGACACAAAACACTCTTGCTTCAAAGCTTTGAGTGATACAAAACCCTTACAATTAAAACCTATTCCAAGTCACTTATCACAATGATACTTGCTTGGATTACAGTAGTTAAAACTATACAGCTCCTAAATGATCTTCAGTCAAAAAGGATGAATTCCAAACAGCAGCCCTGTTGAATATATAGCAGCTGCTTCTTCAGTTAGGGTTTCCACAAAAAGCTAGGGTTAATTAGGTTTAACCTTAAGACTTGGTCACAAGACTTTATCAACCAGATTAGGGTTGAGCTAGGTTAACCCAAAGACCACGCAGGATTCTGTTCTGGAAGGAATGACTCAACTTCCTGAAAAAACTCAGAATTAACGAAACTGCAAAACTGTTATATCAGTACATGATGTCTTAACATTTGTTATGACATCTGAATTCCTGTTTACTGATTTTGGTAAATGTGATCATTTTGCAAAATGCTCAGATACACATTCATAAACAGCAGTACCTGTATGCCACTATTTTTCTGCAAAGGTACCTAATAAATCAGTACCTAATAAACTAGAATGTTATGACATCAGTCATGACATTCACACACTTGGTTTTACCAAAAATGCATGCCAATAACTAAACACCTACAAACTTCCCCTTTGGCAGATTTTTGGCTAAAGCCCCTAAGCAATCAGAGAATAGATAGCAGCAGAATAAATAAGACTGCAGAAAAATAGAGTCTAATAATGTCTACCAAAATATATCTCCCCCTCTTTAGCCACAAATAGGCCAAAGAGACAAGTACTTAAATGTTTATACAGTCATCCAGAAAAAGTAATAGAAACAACAACTAAAATCTGAACACACTTGCAAACTCCACTAGGAACCAGCATCAACTCCACCAACCTTTAGGCACTGCCCCCTTCAGAGGAGCTACTTTCTTCAGTATTGAGTTGATCTTCAACAACACCCTCTTCCCTTCTGTTTCCTTCAGCCTCCTCCTGTTCTAACCTGGCAATTAGGTTTTCTAGAGTCTTTTTCCTAGTCTCCAGCTCTTTGCAGGTCTCTTTCAATATAGCTATAACATCAGATGTTTTGGACTGAGTTTTTACAGATGATGTCTCAGCTGATGTTATGACAATATCAGGAACATGAGATCCCTGAAAAAGCTTGTAGTGTAACCCAAGAGCAGGAGCTCTTTTGCAAGCAGTATCTCTTGCCACCAGGATATCAGGGTACTATGCAAGGATAATTCCACAAAGGAGGGAGGGAAAGGCAATAGGGTCTTTGACAGCAAAGCTACCAGCATGCTTTAAAGTTTGTTCAAAAATATACCTGCCATAGTCAAATTCAGCCTTGGTTCCCACAGCATAAATGAATCTCCCCAATCCTGTGGAGATAGTTGATTTGTGGTTGGTAGGGACCCAGTTGGCTGCACCAATCTTGTGCAGTATGGCAAATTTCATGCTTAGTTTGCTGGCATTCAACTTGCCTTTCAAGGGCCAGCACTTGACTTGTCTTGCTGTGATGGTTTGGCATACTTCATTATCAGTGACTTCCAGTTCAGGGCAATCCTCATTTGATCTTCCAAGAAATTTGTTAATTTCTGATGGAGAGAAATTAACCCTTCTTCCTCTAACATAAACACATTCAAAGTCAGTTGACCTTCCATCAGCACATTCATCAGACAAGTTCACTATAAATTCCTTGACCAGATTTTCATAGCACTTGGTAAATTTTACCACAGTCTTCATCAGTCCAGCAGCTTTGATCAGGTCCATGATTTCCTTGCAATCCATGGCACCATTGTTTAGTTCTCTTTCTAAAGCTATTCTCTTTAAGCAAACATACTTCCATCTGTTGGCATTGTCAGGGTGGTGAAAAGAGATGTTGTCTGTTGGGACTTCAGGAACTCTAGCCATTTTGCTGGAAGGGAGTTTCCTTCTGATAGGAATTTCTTCAGCATCAATCTCAAACTCTGATTCCTCATCAGAATCAGAAGACTCAGGTTCTTTTCTCTTCTTTGTAATTGGTTGTCTAGCAGGTTTTGAGAGATTCCCAGTATGCACTTGGGCTTTCACCTTCCCTTTGGACAGACCAGTCTTAACAGATTCTACACCAGTCTTGCCTTCAGACTTGGTTTTCTTATCAGCAGGTCTCTCTTTGGTCATACATTTTGCAGCATTCTGATTACCCTTTCTTTTCATCATTCTCCTAGCTATGCTAGGGTTTACATTGGCAATTAGTTCATTGTCTGAGTATTCCTCATCCACATCAATAACAGGTGGATCATCAGTCTTCTCTGAAGGGTTCTGAATATCATCAAGGTTTTCAGATGATTTCTGAATGTTGTCATTTGGTGTCACAACATTCTCAGAGACATCTGGATTTTCTTCAACATTTGGGCTTGCCGATTCTTGATTTAATGGAACAGAAATCCCCGGTACAGAGTGGTTCTCACTCAGTATTCTTGTAACAAGCCTAGCAATTGCTTGATGTACTTGAGCTGATCCTTCCCTATTTGGTACAGAAGATGGAGGATGAGAAGGATTACCGGAAGCAGTAGCTTGAGACCTTCCTGCATGCCTTGTTCTCAGCTTTTTGACCTTGGAGGGGTTAGTTTCCATTTCTCTAAGAGGGGTAATCTCCAGGACTTCAGAATCTATGCATGTGGTGA